GTATGTTGATAGGCAAGGAAATTTATTAAAATAAGGTGAGAATTCTAGAGGAGATTAGAGGTACCGAGGTCCAATCACAGATTCACAAAGATCAGCTGCACCTTTTTTCTTTTGATTTTTTCGAAGCTACTCTATATTGTTACTGCTATTGGTTGCATTCACAAGATCCTAATCTATTGGTTGGCATTTAACAAAATATTTGATCAATTACCATCTTACTGTCTGTGTAAGTTATTCGGGACTAATCGTTGAATCATCCATACTTGACTAATAAAACGCGAATGTTGGGATTTTTTAATTTGCACTTAATCTTTTAGGGATTAACTTTACATGCTGAGGTTTAATCTTGAAGTTCTAAAATGAAAGCCATTTCCGTTGGGTTTGCTTGTAATATTCATCTTTTTTTTTTAATATGACCAGCTCGATTCATGTGTGTTCCTATTATGAAATTATACTAGGTTGTAATCTACTCTCCTGCTAGAACTGCATCTCAGCAAGGATCAGGCAAGGTTGGAAAGTGGAAAATCAATTTTATGTCAACGCAAAAGTATGAATTCTTATTTCCTTTATTTTTTTTCCTGGGTTTGGTTCTTTCAAAGATATGAAATTGTTGCTTCAGTAGTTAACTGAATTTTTAACTCAGTTCTAGCAGAGTGAAGAGTTTCCTTATGCTTTACCATCATGTTTGTAGGTGGGAAAACCCATTAATGGGTTGGACTTCTACTGGGGACCCCTACGCCAATGTAGGGGATTCTGCACTGTCTTTTGACAGCGAAGAAGCTGCAAAGGCATTTGCAGAGAAACATGGATGGGACTATGTGGTAATGCGTCGTTTAACCTTTTAGAATGAATGTTCTTAAAAGATTCCCTCTATGTAGTTTGAGTTTGTCATGTCTTAAATTAGTTATTAACTATGCTATTTTTTTACTCAGTTGCCATCAAATGAGTAATAATAGTATTTGGTGGTGTGGCTTGACGTGCATACATTCTTATATATTATTTGCGACAAATCTTTGCTATTCTACAAGGTTGGGATTTGAACCTCCGATCTCAAGGGAAAGAGTATATATCTTTATTGTTGAACTATGCTTACGTTGGCCTAATAAAATGATAAAATGAGATTGCCCTTGGATATGATGGTTTAATATGTATATCTAATACATATCATCAATGAAATGAAATTGATTTAAAATGTATGATTGAAATGAAATTGATACTAGGATATTTCATATCATCAATGAAATTGTACAAAAAATATGTATATCTAATACGATTCATGATTTTTGCATTCGAGCAATAATACGATATTCGGGATTTTTTACTTTGAATATAAGATAATGTTTTTGAAGATGGTGGAAAGAAATCCGATTATTTAATATCCTAGTATGATTTTTTTGTGAAAGAAACAATTTCATTGATATATAAGGAGCCCATATAAGGGAGTACAAAAGCCCATAGATGGGTTATAAAAGGCACTTCAAATTGGATAGGAGGGAAGTGTAGCTATAGTAAAGAAAAGTAGGAGAAGTAGCTATAGTAAAGAAAATTAGGAGAAGTTTTACACCATGATATAGCTTTAAACACTATAGCATCAAAAAAACGATCAAATGATTGTGACTTGTCAATGAAGATCCTTTGATTTCTTTCACCCCAAGTAGTCCACAGAAA